TTTAAATATTTGGTATTTTTTAAAATTTATGTGAATGTGTGTGTGTCTCTCTCTCTCTCTCTGTGTGTGTGTGTGTGTGTGTCTGTCTGTCGACATTTATATTCCATTGAAAAGTTCCAAAGTTTCATAAGTTTGATGTTACTGATTTTCCTGCACTTGAAAATGAAATCTATGCAACACCTTATTTTAAAGCTGTGTTCACATGTATATCTTTGTGTATATGTCCATGGTTAGTGTAGTATGAACTGGAGATAAGGGAGTAAAATATGTTAAATTAAGAGATCTTTACTTTTATTTAGAGATCTTTACTTTTATTTGTGACGAATAGCAACACTAGCAAGATTTCATTTGATCTGAATTATGTTGATGATGGGAGGAAGCAGTAATTTAACAGATACAGAAAGAACTTCCAAAACAGCAGAGGACACCACTGCATGATCTATGCTTCTGGCTATGGCCTTGTTTAGTACTTGAAAGTGATGGATAAAACTGGGCTAGACCAGTGGAGTACCAGGATGAGACCACAGCCAGACATATTCCTCAGGTTCCTACATGGAAACTTCTGGTAGGCACAGTGCTGTGCATCAGTTTGATGGAACTGCTCTACTTAGTGGAATCTCCTGTAGGATGTAGGGTAGGTAAGCTGTGCTTGAGGACAGTTGCCACAAACACAGGCTGTTCTGCATTGACCTTCAGGTGTACAGACATGTTTGCCTTTTAAGTGTGCAACCAATAATCCCAAACACAGAGGAGCTTAAACCAGAAGCAGTTTGGTAAATAATGGGTTTCAACTAATAGAACAACTTTTCACAATACTTTTCAAGCTTAAAGAGTTCATATGTTTCACCACAAGGGGGCATGTTCACCCTAGTGACTGTATAGCAGTTGCAATTACGGTTTTGGAAAGGATTTTGCTGAATCAACAAAATGAAAAATGTGTAGGAACGCTGAGCTACTGAATGTCAAGCTATCACCTATCCTCTAGAGCCTGCAAATGTAGTGAGTCAACTGCTCTTTCTGTTACCATCTTTTACTCTTTCGCTTTATAACTTTTTTTTCCTATGATGGTAGGGATGAAATCTGTATCCTTTTACATGTTGGACAAGTGTTTCACCACACCCCTAGCCCCCTCCTTAGAATGTTTTATTTCTTTTACCTAAACTTTCTGAATTTTGGGGTTTGGGCTGCTATATGAGATGCCTTGCTAAGGTATTCATGGCTACTCAAGTGCTGTTGACCATTATTTTTCTTTGGAACCAGAGTTGATATGGCATGGGTACCAATTAAGACCTGGGCTTTAGTTGTGTAACAACCCTGATCATAACATAAGCCATTTGTGGATAATAATATAAAATAATTTGGTTCATAAATGATCTTGACTATTACATTTAACAATAGATTTTTCTTTTTGTGTCTCTGTGTTGTGTGTGAACTCAAGGCTGAGAATGAAGAGAATATTCCACCAGAGGCAGTGTTTATACTCAGAACTGCACCAATGCATGGGTATCTCCAGAAATCTATGCCAGAAGGTGGCAGCGTGGGTGCAGATGGGATGTCCCCTCTGAGCTTTACACAGCAGGATGTGGATGATGGCAGTGTGGTTTATGTGCAGACAGCTTCTGGCCAACAAAAGGATAGTTTCTCCCTGGATGTGATAAAGGATTCCCAAGTTGTGAGGAGAGTGGAAATGCTATTGGATATCATCCCCAAGTGGATTCCTCTGGAGGTACAGAATTTCACAGTTCAAGAAGGGAACTCCAGGGCACTCCTGCAAGACTACCTCAAAATTCCAAGCAAGTATTTTGAGAGTCTTGACTGTGAATTTGATCTCCTCAAACCACCAAATCATGGTTATATTGAAAACTCTAATTTTCCAAAGGTGAAGCTGATGAAATTTACCAGGAAACAGGTAATCGCAGTTAATGTATTTGAGTATGTTGTGCTAAAGGGAAAAACTGGCTCTTTATCATTTAGATCCATAGGTGTTGAGGATGATGGGACCTTGAAGTCTAACCTCCCACAAGATGCTCAAAGCCCCTCTGCAACATCCCTGGAGAGAGGATGTTCAGCATTGCTTAATATTGTCAGTGATGGAGAAATCACTGCTTCCGAGAGATGGTATGCCTTTTTACTTTGGAAATATTTCAGCTGTGAGTTCTTTTTTGCTGAGCTGAAATTTGCTCCATGGAAACTTCTCTTAGATCCTGGCTCTGATGAAAATGTAATATGTTGATATTTATTAACTGAAAGGTCTATCATATCTTTTTCTATGTATTTAACTCTTGTTTGTTATATGATGCAGAATTCCCCACTGATTTATCTAGAGATCTAGAATTCTTTGGGGCTTTTTTTGGACTATATTGACCAACATTCATTCAGTTACATGCTTTTTTGATGAAGCAAGCATACTAGTCTAGCATTTTCCTCAACTTTGTAACTATCCTGTTTAAAGCACGCTGAAATTTTAGGTTGTGATGTTTGCACTAATACTTCTTAATTTTGATAGTAATTTTATTTACTTTTGTAAAAAACTGAATCTTTCTTATTTTGCATATTTTAATTTCAGAGCAAAATAAAAGAAAATGCAGCATTTGAAAGGCCATATTCCCACAGAGTAAATCACACTTCCTGTTCTAGTTTGTCTCTCCATTGCTGTAACAAAATACTCTAACTGATACCAGCTTGGGGAGGAAAGGGTTTATTCAGCTTACATCTCCCAGGTCAGAGTTCATCAGGGAGCTCAAGGTAGGAACTCAGGGCAGGAACCTGGAGACAGCAGCTAGAACACAGGCCTATGGAGGAATGCTGCTTACTGGCTTGCTCCCTGGCCCTTGCTCAGCCTGCTTTCTTATGCAACACAGGTCCACCTGCCCAGAGGTGGCACCACCCATAGTGGGCTGGGCCCTTGCACTTCACTCAACAATCAAGAAGATGCCCCTCAGACATGGCCACAGGCCAGTCCAATGGAGGCAATTCCCCAATTGAGGCTCCCTCAACCCAGGTGTGTGAAGTTGACACTAAAGCTATCTGGTAACCTCCCCTCATGAAAGTTCTTTAAATATTTGAAAGAAACTGTTCTCAAATTCCCTTGAATTTTACCTTTATATTGTTTTTCCCAATTCTCCAACTTTTGATTGTATATACTATGAATTTACTGTGCCATCCTGACTACCCAATTCCAGATGAGTGACATGCTGTCCCTATCCCTCTCAGTGATACCAGGGTAATACTCATATATTTAATCTTTGATTTTTTTGTTCATTTATTCCCTTATTTGATCACCAGATATTTATAGAGTGCCCTGCCATAAGCATGGGGCTATCAATGTTCAAAGTGGATCAGTCTTGGCAACCAGCAAGCTGGACACAACTGCCAATCTGGCCTACAATGCACCTAAAATAACCAGTCAGCTTAAGATTGCTATCAGATTTCTTTGCTTTTGTATTATCAGACTGCTTTCTTATGAATAAAAGAATAATTTTCATTATTTCTTTCAAAATTTTGAACAGTAACTTGCAGATCTCCTTCATAAAGTCCTAGCAACACACTTTCCTTGTGTTGGAAATCGTCTTTGCTTGGCTTTGTTTAGCGGGCTAAGAACACATGTATGTTCCTTTTTTTGCCTTTAAGAATTTAAGGCATAAATGAATTCAAATCCACTTACTAAAGGCTTACTCTGAGTTATCGTTTGTTACTGTGGAACGTATTCCTTACCTCAGTAACTGCTGTGGAAGATCCAGGCATGCCATCTTTAATGTAGGTACTGTCTTCTTGCCCCTCACATTACATTTTTCACGATTATCCTACAAGAATACACATTTGGCATATATGATTCTAATGGAGAGCAGGGACAAGAGTGTTCAGGAATGGATAGTGCTTAATCTAGATTTTCAGGTGTTTGATAAAGAACAGGGAGGTAACAAATCAGGAACCAGAAAAATTCAAGTACAGGCAGCAGTGTGGACAAGAATATGGAGGCCGTCTGGGCAGCTGAGGAGTGCTTCACAGGCTAAGCCAGGGACAGAGGTTGCTTGGGGCTACACTTTAGAGGGGGTATGCCTCTATCCATAAGAGGTTTAATCTAGATCATGTGTCAAGGAGGCTAGACTTAACCAGTTATCACTAGGAAGCCATGAAGAAACAATGCAGAGGGCTGGGAAGCACCTCGTCTGTCTTGCCCAGGGACGAGTACTCTGCATTCACCCCATGCAGGAATCTCTTAATCATGGCTTCCCTCTCAAAAGATGGAAAACCTGCCTGTAACAACCACCTGTTCTGCTGAGTTGAGTTGAATACCTTTTACCTTGTGTACTCTAGGTGAGAGACCAAGCTCTAAATTTTGGCGCTGTGCTGGTCAGGTCGGAGATTAACCATTTTCATAAGGTTGAAGTCTGTGTATGGAGATACATGTATTCCTTCAGAAATCTGTGTTGTTATGCATCCTGATCATGGACATGAGGCAAGGTCACATGTCCCTGTTTTCTGCGTGACTCCTTACACTGTCTCTGTGTGACCCCTGAGATCTTCAGGTTTTGAGACATTGTCATTTTGCTTAAAGTAACACTGTCTTTGAAAACTTATGGCTGTAACCGTTAATGCCTTACTGGAGAGTCCATGTCCAGCTGGGGTTTGCTGCCAGGGAACCAGATCCTTTTTAACCTGCTAGGATTTTCTACAAGTTTCTTGTTTCCTTCAGTTTCAGATGAGCAGATATCTTTCTGGTTTTTAGAGTCTAAAGATAGACACAGCCTCTCTTGGCTTTTATATCATCATTAAATGACATGCAATTTGGGGACATATCTCTCATTAAATGACATATAATTTGGACATTTCTCCAGGAAAAGTATCTTGGAAGTGATTACTGTTGAGATGTGATACTCCTAAAGTGCTTTAACTTCAAACTTCTCTCATCTTTTGATCAGCCTCCCGCCCAGGCTTGTTCTCAAATAACACAGCATATTCCAGGGCCTGTGGTCAGGAATTCTTCCACTCCCAGAACTCCAAAGAAATTCTCATAGCACCTGTGTTCAAGTGGCCACAACTTTCCCTTGAGGCCCTAACTGAACTTTTCAACTCTTGTCAGAAACACCTCTGAGAGATCAAAAGACTTTGCTCAAAGGAAGTACGCCACAGGAATGGGCGAAGTTGAACTGTTAACATTTTTAGCTGTATTTTGTCAAAACAAACACAATTCCAGAGACTCTTCAGAATTCCAACAACTGCTTTTGGGGTTTGGAAATTCTTTACCATTGTGTGGTTGGGTCACAGACTCACTGTCACTCGGACTTATGGGATGAAGACATGTTTCTGTGTTTTAGAGAGATTTTTAAAATGAAGACTTCTTTTACAGCACTTCATTCATGCTTTTGAGTTGCATTTATGCTGGTTGGTAATTTTTTTGGTTTTGGCGACAGGTGGAACATGAATTGATTTACTATGTTCATGATGGTACTGAGGAGCCACTGGACAGTTTTACCATCTTGGCAGATAACTCAGAGCTTGCGAAACAGAGTCTTCCCCAGACACTGTTTGTTACTGTTGAACCTGTAAATGATGAAGTTCCAATAATAATAGCCAATAAAATCCTCCAGGTAAGTGCTGCATGCTTTTGATTTAACATGAGAACTTTGAAGCTACCAAACCAATTTTCATTTATATTACTTGTATTGTTAAAAAGTAAGACATGTGGCCATGTTTATGTAGTTAACATGTCCTTATGTTTCAAATAAATATTAGTTATTACCTACCAATATTCAATTGGATACCATTAGATGGTGATTTCTGCATTTATTTATTTTTGATTTATTATTTATTTATGTATGAGAGAGAGAGAGAGGAGAGAGAATGTATGCCATGGCATATGTGTGGTCAGAGGAACATTTGTGGGAGTCAGTTTTCCCCTTTTACTATGTGGGTTCTGGGAATTGAGCTCAGGTTAGGTCAGGCTTGGCAGCAAGTGCCTTTACCCATTGAGTCATCTTGCTGACCCTGATTTCTGCATTTCTCGAGCAGGCATCACTCACAGTGCACTTACTGAGGCATGGTCTTTTCACAGCGGTCTAGGGAGGTGTCTGTCTGTACGTGGACACTTCCCACTAGACCAGTAACATGATGGTTTTGCAATAGACATCTGAGTAAGAGTCCTGGTTCTTCATTGCTAGTCATGAGACTTTGGGAAAGGTATTTGGTGTCATTGGGTAGGAGGGTGTTATGAGTATTAATTGAGAAGATAATGCAGAAGGGGAAGGGACCAAAGAAAAGATAATATAAAACTCTCACACAGTGCTTAAAAGTGGCTAGTGCTCAATAAGTGGCAGCTATTATTGCTAAACATAGGCCACACTAGTGTTGGGGTGAAATAAGACCACTGCACTGTTACACAACTATATATTGCTGGTGTGGGAGTTTCCATCTCTTCTGCTCTCTCTGGACACACCCCAGGGTTAGTTTACAAATGTTCATAGATGTGCATCTCCTAGCTGCTGGGTGCTTACTATTTGTCTCCTCTCCTGACCTGGAGTCATGGAGGAGCCACCTTGGGGTGGCATCTACTGTGTGGCTTCTGCTGCCCTCACAGTGGGGTTGATGTGCAGGAACCTCCGGCCCTAATAGCACATTTCTGGCCACATCAGCACTTCCAGCATCAGCGCTGGTAAACGAAGGCTGCCAGCTCACACTCTCTGCCCCCCAAGCTTTCATTTCATAGATTTCACTGGTTTCAAATTACACTTATGTTTCGTTATGTTTCTGCTTCTGAGGAACTGAGCATGAACAAGACTGGCTCAGAGAATAATTATAACTAATACTAGCAAGTACTAAAAAAAAAAACATTAGCTGTTATTATGTGCCAGGAACCTTTCTGAGGGCTGAGGTGTGTGCTACTATTTTCCTTATTGGACAGATGAGGTCGTTGCATGGAGGCTGAGTGACAGTCTGAAGATAGAGTGAGCATGATAGGTTGTACACACCTCTTGTCATGGTCTGCACCTGTGTCTGACAAATAGATAGCAGGAAGTATTTGTTGAAGGGATAAAACTGTTCATATCTAGCACTGGCCTGTGTTTTCTAGACCAGGCTTGATCTTGCTTTTTCCTTTAGTATGGTTGTATTTCTGGGAGGCTGCTGGCCATTCACATGTATAAGCTTCTAGTAGATTTACTCATCAGGTATGTTCTCCATGCAGGAATCTGAATGTGTCCACCTTGAAATTTGATTGAGAGAAATCTTATACAGTTTTTGGACAACTTCTGCTTTGCTTGTACCACATAGCATGCAGATAGTTAATAATATCTCTGTGGAAGTCTCAAGGAAGTTGATTGATCTAAGGAAATGCAGAAAAAAGAAAATCCGACAGATCCACCTGGTGTTGGTACCTGCCCTTAAATGGCGAGAGCATGAAATATAGGCAGTGTTTTTGTTGTTATTGTCATACTGACTGGAAGATGCTGCTGTACTTAATGCCAATGGGCCAATGATATCCTGTAATGTGTGGGTCAGCCTACAAAATAAAGAAATGTCCCATTCACAATGTTAATACTGTCCTATTGAGAAGCAGTTAAAATCAGGAACTTGCAAATTATGGTCCATGGGTCTAATCAAACATGCTTATTTGTACAGTGTATATGTACAAATGGCCTTTGGAGATGAAGATCTGTAATAGGCCTAATAATGGGGAACACTAGCTTTGACTATCATGGAAGCTGAATTTTATACCTTAAAAATGAATTCTAGTCTTCTCATTAACAGATCTCAAATCATTTTCTTTTGCTATAGTGAAATAGGCGATTTGTGAGGGAAATACGTTTATTTAGCTCACTCATAATTGTGGAGTCTGAAGATCGTCACAGCATGATGCTGGCTCTCTTGAAGGTCTCGTGGTATAGGCATCACAATAGCAGGAGTCCCTGAAAGAGAAAGAGATCACATCACAAGGCAGGAAGCCACAGAACAGGGAAGGTTTGTTTGTTTGTTTGTTTTAGAAAGATATATTCTCTTGAGAACTAACTCAGGATCCCATGAGGGCTACTTTGATCCCTTCCAAGGCAATAATGTTTAAAAGGAAATCATAGTTTCTATTGCTGGGGTACTTTTTCCTCTTCTTTAACAGTGCCTTTTATTCTTTTCAGTGTGAACTTATAGTAGTTTTCAAAGTACTTCTACCCTTGTCCTATCTCCCTCCATTTCTGAAGTGTGTTATATTTACAGCTAAATAATAGGAAAAAACTAAGTAATACTCTGACTGACCATGTAGTTGAATTTAATTATGGGTCTGAAAGACTTCATTTGTTTATCATGAGGTGGTTTTTTTTTTTTTTTTTTTTTTTTTTTTTTTTTTTTTAGGGTCTCCCTGTAGCCCCAGCTGTCCTGGAACTCACTATGTAGACCAGGCTGGCCTTGAACTCACATCCACCTGCCGTTGCCTCCTGAGTGCTGGGATTAAAGGCGTGCACCACCACGTCCCGCTATCATGAGTTTTTGACTTCATAAGCAACTAATATAGATCAACTGATCTATAATAAACATGTTCATATAAAGAACTAGAAAAGATGAATTTGAAGGTTCCCAGCATAAGTGATATGGCAAATGCTTAAGGAGCTGGAAATGCCAGTTACCCTGACTGATCATTACACACATGGTATTGAATTATCATACTGTATCTCTTAAACATGTGCTATTTAAATATGCATATGATTTATAAAATCTTAATAAAACAAACTGCATATTTATGGATTATATATTCAATAGTATACATACTATTTTGTGTGTTTCTGTTCTTGTCTGTATATATAAATATGTACATTTTTATATGGTCTCTTTTAAAACACAATATCAAATTGTCTCCCTTACAGGTAAGGACATTAAAGCCCAAGGACAAATGAGGGCCTGATAAGGGCTTGGCTGTAGGTTCTCTTAACTTCTACTCTGACAATCCATCTATTCTGCTTTCTTCAGTGTGCCTTTTTTAGGGAGGGATTTTAAACGCAAACTATTTTAACTTAAAGGTTTTTTGTTTTTTGTTTTGGTCTGTTGGTGTGTGTGGTATCACCCGGGCCTTGTACGTGTCAAGCGAGTCGTTTTCACCTGAGCTACATCCTCAACCCTAAAGGTTGTTTTCTAAGCACCAAGTACGGAGACTTCCATGACACAGAATGATGCAACAGATCACCAGCTGTTAACGCAAACCTGAAAAGTCCTTGTTGACAGCAGTGGCCAGATACGTAACAGGGACAGGAAGAAAAGAAGGAGGATAGCAGTGAAATATGAAGCAGTAAACTTTGACTTCAATTTTTGAAACATTATGGGACAAATTAAATCATTGTACAGGCTACCCAGGGGCCCAACAGGGGCTATTCCAGGTGGCAGTATTACATTGTTAAAAATTGCTGGAGTTAAACAGTGGTGTGGTAGTACACACCTTTGATCCCAAGAGTTGGGAGGCAGAGGCAGGTTGATATCTACAAATTGGAGTCTAGCCTGGTCTACATAGTGAGTTCCAGGCCAGCCAGTGCTACATAGTGAGACCCTGTCTGAAATAAAACATAAGAAACAAATAAAAAACAAAACAGACAAAAGGTTACTGGAGTTTTAAAAAATATTTTATTTACTATTTTTATTTTATGTGTATGAATGTATTGCCTGCATGTGTGTAAGTGCACCCGTGTCATGCAATGCCCAAGGGGGTCAGAAGATGGCATCAGATCCCATGGAACTGGAGTTGACAGACAGTTGTTAGCAGCCATGTGGGTGCTGGGAATCGACCCTGGGTCCTCTGCAAGAGCAGTCAATGTTCTTAACCACTGAGCCATCTCTCCAGTCCAAATTGCTGTAGCTGTAACATTTGTTTTTATGTGTTCAATACGATTGGATCTAGGAATGGACTTTTTAGTGCTTTTAGTTATTTTATAGCTATAGCTCCTCCCTTGGTTCACTATACACTCTCTGCATTTCATTAGAAAAATCATTAGTGTTTCTTCTTTTGGAAATTGTCTGTTTATGTTATGAGTTTACTTCACAGTCACTACCCTGGTTTCCTGGAGTGGTATGTGCTGCCTGGTCAAGCTTGTAGACCTGCTTTCGGCTGCCTCCCTCCCCACCCCCCCACACAAGGCTCCTCTGTAGCAATCCCTATTGAGGTCACTCTACAGTCATCTGAGAAATGGTCTGTTGGCTGCTGGGAAGAGGTATAGCTGTCAATAATTGTTAACTGCAGCTATAAAACTTTATATTTACTGTGTGTTCATGAGTCCTGGCCCCTTCTATAACTGGTGTTTGCATAGCCCTCCCAGGGAACTGCTAGGATGAAAACCCTTATTTCTAAGCTGGGAACATTGAAGCACAGAGTAGTCACACGGGAAGGAATGAACTTGAAGGCAGGTCTGTTGGTGTTGGACACTCTCTCTACCATGCTCTGCCATGCCCTGCCCCACCCGTTACTCCTGACTGATTCAGGCTCTTTCATCATGCCCATGCTATCAAGGGATGTCTTTATTAGGCAAAAAGAAACACTTTCCCAAGCTGCTGTGCTGTTGTTCCTAAAGCTGTGCTGTGGTTTTTAAGGAATGCAGCAGTTGCATCAACACACATGGGCATG